TTATGTTGTATTTAGACATGAAATTAGTATATGATGAAATGCTGCATTTCAAGCAGTGCAAAAAAAATATTTGGAGAAAATTCACAGAAGTAAGCTTACAGGGAAAAAATGCTATGCCTTGTCACTGATATACAGCAAGGGTAGGAATTAGACACTTAGGCATTTTGTGTTTTCACCAGATTCAATAGCAATTAAGTTTGTTGGACAGGGGGTGAAGGAAAACCAGATTCAGAGATTGTGTGTACACACATATGTAATCTCTGGATCTGGTTTCCCTCCATCCCCTGTCAACAAACTTAATCTTTATTGAATTTATTTCAAGGATTCACATTCTGGCATTTAAGCTCATATAAGCCACCTGTCACCTGGTTAAAAATTTGAGATAATAGACTATAGTGGTTAATTGGGAAGTTTGAAAGCTATGTGCTGAGAATGGAAAGGTTTATACATTGTCCTTCATTAGCATTCATTCATCACACTACCAACAGGAGGGAGGCTAAAAGACAGTTCTTATTCTGTGAGTTCAAGCAATGGCATGAATCCTGGCTTGAGTATTCTAGTTCTCTTGTGTTTTGAGTTACTCCAAGGCTGGGATTAATGTATTGGCTGTCCTAATTTAACGTCTGTTTCTGTCACCTACACTGCAATTTCTTAAATCATCAGGAGCAGCAGAACTAAGGCTTCCTGCTACATTGATAAATAATTTGCTGGGCAGTTTAAGAGCCAAACTAAACAATCAGCAGATTTACATAGCAGATAGAAGGGGCAGCAAGAAACAACAATATGTTTTGGGAACACTTTGTATCCTAGCATTCTCTCTCCCCCGTGCATGAAAATGACGTATTTTTGGAATAAATTACTAGTAAAATTTCATAATTGCACCCTTCCTCCCAGTTTCTAAGAAGTTATTTAAAACAGAATTGTTGAAAGTGGCCTTTTATTAATGTGTGCCATGTGATGCCCAACTGTGATTTAAATGTGCTTATTTATGTCAGATTCAGAGAGTTACATGGTTTTATTTTATTTTTTTATTGTTTCATCAGTGTTTATAATTGATATTGTATTATCTGTAGCCTATATGTGTTGGTTGTTTACTGCCCAGGAAGTGTATATCACACTACTAGGTGATGTATTCAATTAATCAATCTTGGAAATATGGAAAATTTACATATAATGGGTGAAATCCTGTTGCTTAGTGTAGTAAGTTGCAACAGAGTAGACCCATTGAATGAATACGTTTTAATTAAGTCAATTCCTCTGCAAACTATTGATTCAAGTAGGGTTACTTTAGTTGAAATTTACTCTTAGCATTTTAGCAACTAGATTGGGCCCATTTGAAGCAATGGAATTTACAGAGAAGATGACTCACTAAATCCTCACTGATTCAGTAAATGTATCTATTGCATGTTAAGGAACTCCCAATTAGAAATTAAGGGACTGACACCATCTTTTCAGATTAATAAACTGACATCATCCCCCTGAAGTCAATATCCTGATGCTAATTTGTGGGTTTCAGTTCTGGCTGAGTGGGTTACTCTTGATAGTTCATCAGGGTTTTCCTGCTGAATTGTTATCTAGGTTAGTTGGGACAATGTTTTCAAAAGGCATCTCATGTGATCTTAAGAATTATAATCCTTTTAGCCTCTAAGGTACATGATGGTTAATGTCTTCATAGGACATATTGAAAGAGCAGATACTGTATTTTAAGACTTTGGCTTTTCATGGTGTCTCAGGTGTTAGATAACACCTTCTGCTTACCTTAAAAGGAGATACTTAAATTGGAGACCCCCAACCCCATATCTGTATTTTTCTTCTATGCTGCTGGGGCTTCTTCTTTTTTAAGAAATGAATCATTTTGCATTGGTTTAGGTATGTGATTGCTTGAATCGGTGGAGAAAGGAGGATGAGCTGCACATACACACACAAAGCATTGCTTTGTAGAAGCATCTTCCTCTTGTCTCATGAGAGAGGACATCACCACCTCCAACACACACACACACAAACAAACACACACAAAGCATTGCCAGCACACACTCATAGGAAGCAAAGTCTCTCTCCCAAGACACTTTTTAAAAAAGCTTCTCCTCTGTGGGCAACACTCTGTTTGTTTTACACCTTTATAAGGGAGCTTCTCTCCCATGTTAAAAAGAATCGATAACAAAATGAGGAAATTAAGAAGGGAAGCCCCTTGTTAATGCAGTTCTTTGCAACTGCACAACCTGCTGGGCTATAAGTAGAATTGCAAACAAGGCATTTAAAAAAGCTTTCTGTTGGCTCCCTGTGAGGTCACTTAACTCAAACAGGCCTAAATTCCATGCTGCAGCTTCATAGCAAGTGAATGTGGGTAACTTTGCATTTCCCTCACTATGTGGTTGCATCCTTTTACAGGATCGGTATGGCAGTTAGGATTAGGAGGGTCTCTGGAACCATGGAGAACTCCTAGGGAAAGTCGACAGTTTTCTCAATGTTCCGAAGCTGACTCTGATGGTTCTTTTGAAAGGCCTAAGAAATTCCTAAAGGTGCTCCAAAAAGTACACATTCTGTTGGGACTACTGATTTTTCCCCTTACTGTATAGTAAACCTCAACTCTAGATTGCCAGCTTTGCTGTAGATTCAGGGAGTGGTGAAACGTTTGCTATGTTGTGTGAATGGGATGGATAAGTAAAAGATCCTCTTGGGTTATATAACTATTCTCGTAGTTGTCTTGATTGTGCTCTTTGTCTGGAAAAGATCACAAACACTATTCAACATTCTCTTTAATTTTCATCCCTGTTGCGTGGGAGCTTTTCCCATCTGCATGTGGCAGTGGGGGGGGGTGTCCATCCGAAACCTGGAAGTAAATAGGCATCAACCCTGGCTGCCACTGCATGGCACCATTGGAGCTCTCCATGCCCACGCCCACACTTGTGTGCACCTTAGAGGGAACGTTGACTGTATCAGTTGGTATAAGTGCACCAACTGATATTCAAGCCATACTATAATAAGGAAGATTGGATTAGACAGGTGCTGATACTGGGGATCATTGTTTGAAAACATTCAGGAAGAAACCATATCAAATATGTTTCAAAGAAGCATGTGAAGCATCCTTAAGGCTAGTTGCTTAATTGTACATGAAGTGATTTGAAAAGTTTTATTTAGTAATACTTTGCATCTAACCAGCGAAATACATTGGCTTCTAAAATCTTGGAAGTAACATTCTATGTGGAAATCACTAAATAATAGTGCAAATGTTGTCATGCAAACTTAGAGTGAAAAGGATATCTTGGATTGCAACATTGAACTGCTGCAGATTCTGTGAACTTTTGGTCCCCTAGAAAAAGCCCAGCCATGTTCCTTTTTAGTAACAATGAAATGTATTTTGTGAGTTATGCTCTCAAATGTTTTCTTTTAAGTGTTTTCCCCCAGTAAAAATGGAGAGCAGACGTTCACTCAAAAGGGTAGGTTTTTCTAATGCTGTATGAAATCTTTTTTCCTGATATATTTAGGTGGGTGGTTTTTTCTTCTTCTTTTTCATATGAAAAGCAGTACTGGAATTTTTATCCTGAATGGCTACTGCAGTGCTTAATTAACAAGCACATCATAAGAGAATCTGCTTCTCCACCTACTGTGATCAGCAGGTATTGACAAGAAAGCCATGTAAACTGTACAGATGACTGCTGGTGTGCTTAAAGCAGCAGAAAAGCATGTCCTTTTCAGCATCGGTGTGGAAGAGTATATTACACTTTGTATATTAGCCTGCATCTTTTTCTGGAGATGCCATTTAGGAGATTTCAGCAGTCTGTCACTAATTTTCCAGCTGTTTTATAAAAACATCCTATTTTGTCTATACTTCAAAATGGCTAGTGTTTTTTTTAAAAAGAACCCTCTGAGATGTGCAAAAAAGAAATGCTAATTGAAGAATTCAAGAAAGTAAAGTGTTTATGCAATCTTGCTGATGTGCAGACTATTTTTCATGCATCACAGTCTTACCTTTGAAGCCATCACTTTCCCACAGCAGCAAGGTGCCTTCTTGCTTACCTCTGTTGAATTTTTAATTGGCCTACTAGAATATTCTCAGAGCAGAGAGTGAAAACACTTTTTCAGTATATATTTTTGTGATCCTTAGTGCAGATTGGCCACTGAAATGAAATGTGACCTACATATATATAAACACCAAGGGTTGGGAGTCCCCCTCCCATCTCAATTTGCTGCAGAGTTTTGAGTTTCTGGTAAAATTACTTTTCTATGCAGTAGAAGTACAGAGGTCAACAGAGAAGAATAGCTAAATGTTCCACAGACTCTACCCCTTCCCCATTAACCAGCAATTAAAGTCTGAATAATTCACTCTGAGACATTTGTAGTACAAAGAATAAAAAAAATTTCTTTACTCACAGTTGCTTGAAATTACAAGCTTGTGTATTCTGCTTTCTTTACTGCACTTATACCAATCAAGCAAACAGATCAACAGCAACAAACTGCCAATAGCAAGAAACAAATAGTGAAAGAGAGGGATAGAACGCTCAGCAGGGAGGCAAAGCTCTAATTGGAATTTCAAAAGCTGGATGGAAGGAATTATTGGTTAGTGCTACATAGACGGATAATCACCCAAGCCCAGATAAGTCCCTACCAGTCACCCAAACAGACAGCGCATGAGGATGTAAAATAAACTCCTACAGAATTTGTATTCAGTAAAACTACATTTTTGGAAGTCTGCATAGAGAAACATTTAACATTTGAATCTTACTGTGTGTTCATATCTGATGGCATCTTTGAACATGCTCTTGCTCAATCAGAAGACTTTACACATTAGGACAAGCCATGGTGATTTCTGCAATGTTAACTGTGATGTTCATATACTATCTAAATGCCTCACTTGGTAGAACCTTAATATGTACTCTCAGCCAGAATTTGTATGAACATAGCATCCACTGGACGAGGGTTTGCTGTGTATGTTTGTATGTGAGTTTTTGTGTCTGTATGCTTATCTCTTAAAGAAATGCATGTATTGTTTGTATTTACAGGTTTTATTTCATACAAAAAGAAACGTCACACTGTGGAATGATGCCCTGAGCCCCTTCTGTCACTATACAGTTGCTGGAGTCATTGTCCAGTATTTCCAATATTCCTAACAACAGCTAAACTATAAATCCAGGTAAGTGTAGCTTTGAGCCAAATAGCTCTCTCTCCTGCACTTTTCTTTTCATGAAGTCCCAAGAGTTAACAAAAAATTTTTAAGAAAATGGATAAAAAGTAAATCCATTGTCACATACAGTTGGGTTTTTTTGTTTTTGCACAAGCCAGATCTCCAAAGCTCATGGTTATTTGCAGTAAGGCATTTTAAATGTTACAAAGGTCTGGAAAGTTTGATTTCCAGATGAAAAACAATGTCAGTATTTACTGATTTTATACAACACATAAACTATGTATTACTACCTTCTGGTCTAGAAGTCATCCGATTAGAGAATGTTTGCATTTTTCTACATTTACAAAAATATTTTAACTGAAGAAGAATGTCATGGTCTAATATGTACACGAGAGACAGATTATTGGAAGTACTTATAAGTAACAGTCGGATAAATTAGATGTTAAAAACGCATAAGATATTTAAAACAAATGGAGTATGTATATGGGTACAAATTTCAGATTTATGATAGAATAGCGTATACAAAGAAATACATAAATATTCTCTCAGCATCAAACATGTTAACTTAGAATATCAGTGGCTGAACTGGAAAAAATGCTTGGCTATAGATAATGGAATTTGATAAAAACGAAAAGAATGGAATCCCACGCTACTGTAGGAATTGACTTGTTTTAGGCTGCAATCTTGTCACCTACATGGAGTAGTAAGCCCCACTGAACTCAACGCAACTTAATTTTGAGTTCAGCGCAGCTTATTCCTTCACACATAAAGATCAAGACAAGCAACATTCATCTAAATGCAAAGAGGCCAGTTTATTATATATTAAAATTGTATTTACTTGAAACTGCTACGTGAGACGTGCTAGGCTTACTTTAAAATAAATTGCTAATAATTTGTATGTATCCCAAACTTCTTTCTTTTTAGCTTTATATTTCTTTTCTTCTTTCTACAAATGATTTGTTTTAATAGATGCATAAATAAATATCAGGAACAATACAGTATGACCCACTTATCCATGGGGTATTTTTCCTGAAACCGTGAATAGTAGCGAACTCTATATACAGTATACAAGGAGGTGGGACAGAGGCTAGAAGGGGTTGGGGCAAAAATGCCCACCCCATTGTATGTTGTATGTATGTTGCATGTAGGTAACCTCTGCATAACTGAAACTACAGATAGCCAATCCCATGGATACTGGGGTCCTACTGTATTGTAGAAGCATCCATTAGCAATACGCTTCTTGTTCTGCATTTATCCCAGGATGTATCTTGCTGTCATGATGTAAGTTTAAGCAAAGAGTACATGTAATATCTACTGTGGAGTCTTCGTTTTTCTATAGCAATTTAACTTTATTAGTATAAATAAAGTATACTTTGCATCTTTGACTGATTTATTTTCTTTAAATAAGCCCTTCCCATTACTTGTAAATTTAAAGCGTACATAAACATGCTTCAGTAGTAGTATATTCATTAAAACTGAAATGGAAATTTGTTTTAAAAAAGTATTTGCAATTAAAACAACTTGATCTGTACATACTTAGCCAAAAGCATATTTGAGTGTTATGCAACCAGATGTTGCTGTCATGGAATAGCAATTTAATTAGGGAAGATCAGATTACATTTCTTATGTATGTTAAAAATAATAATCAAAGTTGAGATTTCACTTTGTGTCTTGTTTTGCAATCTCATGCTTTGAGATGAATCTTCTTACATTAGAGAGTGCTTCTTAAAATCAGATGTTGAGACACTGGTTCAAGAAATCTAGCCTGTAGGGATTAAGAAAATAGGAACATATATGTATCGGCTACTTCTGTCTTGGAAACTGATGATGATGGTCCTGATGGTGATGATGATTCATTCAAAAGAAGAAAATTGAAACATTTCTAGGACACTGACTGTATTTAATAGGATAAGAATAATTTATCACAAAGAGCAAGTATATGAAAACTTGTTTTCAGTAAATTCTTATGGCATCCCACATCTGGAAGATCAGTCGCTAGGATATGAAGTTGAATAACCTCTCTTTGGAACTAAGAAAAAGAGAAGACCAACCTTCTCTTGATAGTTATGTATGAGTTGTGCAACTAGCTGCAGTGAATTGCTGCTCATTGATGAGGCATCGGGGCACATCTCAGTTGCAGAGTTGTGTGTGTGACCAGGCATGAATCCATAGTGCAGCTTGGCATTGTGTCATTGAGCTGCAGTTACTGATGATGACAGCTTGCACAAACAATATGCAAACACCAGTAGGATTTTGACAATATATTGTAACATCTGTTTGGTTCTTCATTACATGATCAATATACCAGGGGTACCACCTAGCACTGGACCTTTGTTGGGGTATGGGGACAGCAGAATGCAGCAGATGTGGGAGGGGCCATTGTCATCTTCCCACTGTAGCCCCTTCCCTGTTCAACCCAAGAACATGCTCTGTAGGCTGCAAAACCCTTCTAAGTCAGCATTCCGGCAGCTACAGCAGCTACAAAGGGACCGGGGAATAGAAGTTCCATCAAGTTGTTGCTACAGCACTAGGCCAAAAGGGGGTGTATTACACTGGATTCAACTAATATTGAAATTAACATATTAAATGTGTCTGTCAAATTCTAGTGATTCCTTTTTTGTTTGCTTATTTTGTAACACTTTCCATTTTGTTACATAAGTTCTTACAGGTTTTGTTTGTTCGTAATGTCTAGTTTGATTGTGCAAAATGTTTAGCTGTTGAAAAGTGTTACCTTTTTGTAAGTTAGTGCTCTACGTTCTCTGTTCTGGTACGTGTATCTCCAGAGCATATTTTGATTCCTCTGACTATGGCTCTATTTTCTAGTTGGTTCCTACCAATTTTCTTTATAAAAATACAGATAGTTGAATGTAGCATTCACACAGTGATACAGGTCTCTTCTAGAGATGGACGTGAACCTTGGTTTAGAGGTCTGGCCCAATTCATCACCCATCATCCATCTCCCCTGCACGCCCACTCATTCTTCAGGCAATGTGCACTTCCCTCCCTGCCTTCCCAGTGCAACTACCCACCACCCATCTTTTGCAGCACACTATTCTCTCTTCTGCCTTCTCCATCAGCCACCCACTCAAAGGTAATGCTACAGGAATCCCAGCCCCACCTCTTCATCTGAGTGGGTGGCTGATGGAGGAGGCAGAAAAGGTTGCTGGAGGAATGGGCAAGCATGCAGGGGAGGCAGGACTGGAGGGCGCTATGCTCACACAACATCTGTGTGAGCACAGCAAGAAATTGGGCTGGATCTCCAAACTATGATCCATGCCCATCTCTGATTTCTTCATTGTTTCCTAGTTTTCAATTATGAGCTATATCATACAACAATAATTCAACTTTAGAATTAAATCTCAGTTAATTAACTCCACTTATTTCAGTGCTACTCCTTGGCAGGTAAGAATTCCCTGGGGTAGATAAATGTATTAAAAAGATCCTCCATATGTTAATTAAAAAGTGACCAAAGGTTGAGTATCACACACATGCCGTGTATATAGAAAAGAACGTTAATAAGCTACTGGCATATTTTGCAATGATAAACTTTGACAATTTAAGAAAGAGCTACTTGATAAATTTTCTGTACAGTTGCCAAGGTATTGCAACAAAATCCTCTCTCACCTGCCCAGCAGTATAATGTCATTGGTATAACTTTCTGTGGCAAATTGTCATAAGTTAAGAAGTTAGTATAGGCGTTTCCCATTGTACACAGTCATGTGACTGATATGTGATACAACATGCCTATGCCAGTTTTTTTAATCTGCCATGAGGGGTGGTGTATAAATAAATAAATAAATAAATAAATAAATAAATAAATAAATAAATAAATAAATAAATAAATAAATAAATAAATAAAAATTCACTACTGAAAGATCTGCCAGTGATTTTACACTAGTAGGATTTTGACACAATACTCTCTGGTTTTGCCTACCATCAATAGAAGCCACTTACTGAACCAAGGAAGATCTTCTCCGTTTTGCACAGTGACTGTGAAGCTGAGGTATTTTAGTGTAAACCTGTATATTTTTCTATAAACTGCATTGCAAAAAGGGAAATTTAAATTTAGTAATCATAGAGTACTACACAGTCATCGAGCTACAAAAGAAACATAATTCATTCTGATCATTATTGTAATAAGTAATAAAATATTTAAATATAACTGAAACCAGAGAAAGACTGGAAAACAATGATATGGTGCATCTGTTCTTTATTTGCAGGAGGGAAGTCACAGGGGTTTCTTGGGCTGACTGTGGGCCTGTCCAGACTGGACATTTTGGTTGTGGGCTGGGCCAGGGGACAAAAAGTCTATTGAGGTGAGGAGAGGGATGCGTCATTTGGTGTGCTCCTCCTACCCCACAGCAAATGACTCCTTATAGTCTGATCAGCTATCAATTCCCACTTTCCCTGATCCTCTGTGAAGAGTCAGGAAAAGAGACAGATCCATTCAAAGCAAGGTTTACCTGGTTTGTGCATGAATACGTTTACCTGGTTTACCTGTGAGTAAGGAGAGAGCAACAACAACAGCCAAGGATAGCTGCGGCATGAGGGAAGAATGCTGAAGTGAAGGTTGAGGTGGGATGAAACCCCGCCCTTCCCTCGCTTTGTCCTCAACCAGGGCTCTGCTGGGGCTGAGCTGCTTTGTGTGAGTAGAGTTCAAGGGGTCAACATAGCCTCCTTTCTTGCCTTTTCTCTCAGACCTCATTCAGGAGGCTGTGGTGACTTTTCCTCTGCTAAGGTGTTATCTGGAGCTGCAGTAGCAGAGGCAATGCCAGCCTTCAGGGCACTGCACAGTGCAGAGGCAAGCCCGGTCTTAGTCGGCTTCCAGGTCTGATTTTGTCTGCCTGCCCCCTCAGCCTGCAAGGCTCCAAATTTTGCTGAATACAATGCATGCCCTAGACAAGGGTCAGAAAGGTGTGGGACAGCTCTTAAAGAATGGATCATACTAAGTACAAACACAAGCAGACAAGTTTCTTCTTCTTCTTCTCTGTGCTAAACAGTGCCATCAG